GGTGGAGCTCTCTGCACAACTTGTAGACAGGTCCACAGATGGAGGAAATCTCTGAAAAGATGCTCCATCCCCAGCAGTGTTTACTATTTCTAGAAAACTTAAGTTTTGGAGAAATGGATCAGTGTCCAAGAGTACATATTGTTCTTATAGAGGACCTGAGTTCAAGTCACAATGCCCATCTCAGGCAGCTCTAACTGCCTGAAACTCCAGCTTAAGGAGCCGGCACCTTTCTGACTCCCTTGGACACACAGGCAGACACATGTACATTCACATAAATTAAAAATTAAAAAAAAAGGTGGGTGGGGCAAGATTTTTCAAGTCTCAAAAAATTAGCAATATTAAACATTTTCTTCAGACTATTAATGTAGCAAATACATCTTTAAAAATGTTAGTGAAAGAAGTCAAACAGAAAAGCCACATATTCAGAATCTATTTAGTATAACGCATCCAGAATAGGCCAGTCTCTAGGAAGAGTATATCATTGTTGCTAGGAACTGTTGCATACTGGGAACAAGGTGTTCTTTTTCAGTGATGAGGATGTGATCGAGATATTGGTGTTTGCCCACTGTGAATTGTATACTCCCAAATGGTTAAAATACTAATCTTTATAAAACTGAATATTTTTCCAAAACTGAAAGTACTTGTATGGTGATTGTTTTATGTTGATGGTGTTTTTCAACTTCTGCCTCTCAACATTAATCTTTGTTTTGTTTTGTAGGTAAAATGATCCATTCAATGGTAGCTCATTTGGATGCTGTTACAAGTTTAGCAGTAGATCCTAATGGCATCTATTTGATGTCTGGAAGTAAGTTTGAACTTCTGTACAACCCTCAAACTTTATAAAAGAATTGTTACTCAGTAACAGCTTTATTTGTCTCTTACAGGCCATGACTGCTCCATTAGATTATGGAATTTGGACAGTAAGACATGTGTACAAGAAATAACAGCTCATAGGAAGAAATTGGATGAATCAATTTATGATGTTGCTTTTCACCCATCAAAGGCATATATCGCCAGTGCAGGAGCTGATGCTCTTGCCAAAGTATTTGTGTGAACCAACATAAATTTGACATTATGAAAAAGATTTACTGGTCAGAAGGGGGTCTGTCTGCATCACTGCCATCAAGAAAGTCACTGATACGACACTACATGTGCTCTGCTGGGTAAAGCTGCTGGGCAGACATAGTTGTTGGGAATCACATCTTCATGTCAGGCTTACTAGTTTAACTGTAATTAACTGTATTTGTGGGACAGAAAGAAAAAGGACTCCAGTATCTGTGCTGTATACTGGATATGAACTGAGCATAATTTTTTTTTTTTTAAAGGTGTTTAAGCCAATGTGGAGTCTGATCTTACAAAAAAATAAAGGTCTTTTTGTTGGACTCTGTGTGCTGCCTTAGGGTTAGGAATGTGGTGCTCTTGTGGGGAAGCAAACTCCAAGAGTAGCTTTTCATCTCTTAGTGATCTTAACGTTTATTGGTTGAATGCCACAGATTCCCTTTTAAACTTATTTTGCTTTAAAAAAAGAAAAAAGAAAAAAGAAAAGAAAATTTAACTTAAAATATTTTAGCATTAGTTGCACAAAATGTTTGGATAAAATTCTAGTTTTTATAAGTCTTTTTATATATTTAGCCTGTCACAACAGTGCTCAAGATCATATTGATGTTTTTCTGCATTATACAGCCCTAAAACACAGAGATCTCACTAACCTGCCACCTATAACCACTTTCTTTCCTCCTTTTGCCTAATACAGCTCAGCTAAGTCCTTCATAAAGATGATAAATCGCCTTCGTCTACATGTCTTCATGAATCAAGGACTATTAAGTGTAATAAAGCTGTGGAGTTTAGTACTCCAAATGAACTCTTTAAAAACTAATCTTGACATCTATCACTATGTGATATTTTGTACATCTTACTGTATTTACAAGTTTATTTATCAAGGATTATCCATCTTGCTAATGGCCTATTATTTATTTCACTTTTTGTTGGTCTTTATATCCTTTTATTAATGTGCTAAGGGAACCTGTGTATCTATTTTGGAGCTCTTTGAACAGTCTAAAATAGACTAAAAATGGAATATTTTATAGTTAATGTACAAGCCAAGGTGTTTCTCCCTAAGATACTGTCTTGATTTACCATGAATCCAAAACCAAAACGATCTAGTTTAAAAAAAAAATTTGGAGAATATTTTATTGCCATTACATATAGGATACTTTAAAAAGTTGAATCAGGATACAGAAGTCTGCTGGGATTGGACTGGTTTTCCCTGTTTTATTTTTTTTAGATGTGCTTAATTTTATGGTGTAACTAAAGTTTTTCTTTGTGTAATGCATGATTAAGACAATAAAGTATTTTTTTCTAGTCTTCCAAAAACCTTTTCTGATCAGTTTGCGAGTTTGATGAGTTTTATAAGGTTTTTGTTTTACAGACTATGAATCAGCAAATTTTTAAGATTGTACCACAAAGCAAACGTACAGCTGTTGAGAAATAATGTATATAAAATGCATATAATAAATATTGAATTGTGTACCTGTATGTTGCTGTTGGCCGCATCATTCCGTATTGAATAGTAAAGTACAATACTCTCCACAATTGAAGTAGGAAATGAAGGTGATTTCTTAGTCCTTCATTTTATGCTCTTCTTTTTATATTCCTAGTAGTTACTGATGTCCTAGTAAGGTTATAACACAAACACTATTTTTCTATTTTGTACCACCTGGGGAAGCTGTTGTGCTATTAAAAGAGATTAAGGCCTCCAGTGTCATCCTCATCCACTAAATTTCAGATACACAATTTAAACAAACTGCTTAGACAACCTATTATTTAAAAACAAAACAAAAAGCCGAGTTTTACTTACTAGTAAATTGTGTTGTCTTAGTTAACTGTTTCCACAAAAATGTTAGCAAAGAATAAACTGCATTTGCTTAGTAGATAGTTGTCCTTATAAAGTTAAAAGTTAGCTATTTGAAAGAAAGAGCTTCAAGATAACTAATACCCCCTTTCTCAGAAGAAATTGCGAATGGAATAGAATCAGGCATTGCAGAGTTTACATGCAGATTTCTATTTGGATTCCTGCTTTAAAAATTATACATTGAAAATTTTTTAGAAACTCAGTTGTTGCTGATAAAACTCTAAGACTTCAGAATTTAAAAAGTAACTGTTGGTTTTGGGGTCTGGGGTGGTGATTCAGTGAGTGATTGCCATGTAAGTGTAAGGCCTTGAGTTTGAATCTCTGGCTCCCATATAAAAAGTGCGGCGTGACTGCATACATAAAACCCCAACGTTGAGGGGCCAGAGACGGAGAGTCCTGAGAGCTCCCTGGCCAGCCATCCCAGCTAAGGCATTACGATGAGCCTGGTCTGGCCTCTGCTGCATTCACGGGCATACACTTGCACTATCGCAAGTGCATACCATATGTACCCAAGAACACGAAGCGGTTTGTTTTCTGAGCTGAAAAATGAACTAAAGGGATATTCTTCCTCTATACTCCTATATTTAAATAATAAATTTCCTCAAGGCAAGTTTTGTTCTGGGACCCTTCTGAAGCCCATTGCATAACTATTTAATTGTAATTTGTTTGTTACTGCAGGTCATAAACATTTGTGTCTTATGGTATATTAAAACTGGATTTTAAAACTAGTATGTTTATTTTTTAATTTTTTAGTGATAGCAAACAGATTAAAAGGTTGAAAAAGTCTTATTTTTGTTTTATATGTTTCTATTTGATTTATGGAAAGTAACTTGACTTTATGAGTTTTAATGGTATTTTAGTATGTTTACCCCCCCCCCCCCTTGCTGTTGAATCATTCTGTCTCATGATTGTAGTTACTTTCCTCATTTCAAGCTTTACCCAACATCTCAGCTCATTTGGAAGCTATAAAGTGATGTGCCAGGCGCAGGTATGGCGGCTCTCATGACCGTAAGGTTGGCGTGGGATGTGCAGCAAAACATTTCAGAATGAGCTAGACATGCCTGCCGAAACTGAATTATAATACATCTTTTTAAAGCTTGTAAACTCTGCGGGTCTATAAGCTCAGAATTGAAGAGGATGAGGCAGAAGATTTTGATGAGGCCGACAAATTACTTAAAAGTAATTCTTGGGGCTGGAGAGATGGCTCAGTGGTTCCTGAGTTCAATTCCCAGCAACCACATGGTGGCTCACATGGCCTGCAGGCATACATGTAGAAATTGTATACATAATAAATAAATATTTAAAAAAATAAAAGTGATTCTTTATTGTATATCTTTAGTTATTTTTTGTTTACTTACAGAAATGCTTAGTATCTTAAAATTTTAATTCCTCTCAATCGACAATTAAATGTTAGCATCTTTGGTTATCTGAGATGTTTCAAAGTTTTGTCCTTTGTTGAATTAAGACTTGTAAAAGAGCTAATGAATGGAAACGGGTTTCATTTGCTCGAGGGAGAGAATTTAGGAAGTCAAGTTAAATTGAACCTATTTCTTATGGTAAGATTCTCCTTGTTCACAATGAATTGTTTGCAGCCTTTGAGGGGAGGAGGAATGCTCTTTTTATTAAGCCTTTATGTCATTTTGGGGGCAATCTCTTTTCACATATAATCCTTAATCTCTGCCTGGGTTATGCAATTTGGTACACTCCAGGAAGTCATGAGTCTACAACCAGTGCCTTTTCTAGGTCAGATGGTAGTCAAAAGGTTGACAGGAGAGGCCAGAACCTAGCCAATATGGAATGGTAGATTCTTGTGGGAGAGCTCCTGTGGGCTCTAGTCTATGCTGAGTGGGTTTTTGATACTCTCCTTGACATCAACTTCACAAATATGGTTAAGTTTTTAAAAAGATATTGTTTATGTTTCTCTTGAAGCAGGTACTCAAAAACATGCCCTAGTGGTTAAATCTGGTAGTCTACAATAGGTGTTCAGCATGTAATTGAATGAAATATTATACAACTTAATTCAGATTGGTCATTAGCAGGAATAGAATGTTTATCATAGAAGAAAAACAGTAGTGTTAATAAATAGGTACTTAGTCACTTCCAGTTTTATTGTTGACATCCAAGCTATTATGCCAAGTATTTTTCCTGGTACAATACTTGAAACATTTTTCAAAAACTTTCCGTGGTTAAACATTTTCTCAGTTCTTGGAGTACATGCCTGTCTATACACATAAAATTAAGGATATAAATAGAAAAATACCAGGCAATCCTATCTTTACTCAGTGTGGTATTTTCAGCCATTAGTTATGAAAACACTACAAAAGAAGCTTGATACATGTTCCATATAATGTGTATGAAGACTAGTACATAAAATAACAGCTGTCTGTTGACTGGTTTTAAGAAAGCATCCACATGGGTCAAAATTACACTTGATCTATGTTTAAAAGTTGTTCTCTCCTTGCACAGTCAGTACAGAGTTATTAGGAAAGGACCAGTGCTGTGTCTAACTGGAGCATACATACATAGCCACTTTGAGTATGCATGTTTGCAATCTTCAATTTAAACCCATGACATCTCTTTCCTGAGTTTCTAAGGACCCTGATTATCCTCAGCCAATCTAAATTTGCAGCTTCAAATGAAAGCTCATTTGCTTTAAACTGCTGTTGACATATTTACTGATCCTGGTAAGCTATAAAGTTACTTAGGTATTGAGAGTACAGTTTGCATATTAGATCCTCATGTATTTATTCTTTGAGTTGTCAGAGTATCACAGTTATTGCTGGGATTCTAAGAAATCTCTACAAATGCCTCTAATGACGTCGGAGACAATTGGCTCTAATCCTGTGAACTCTCTGGTAAAGAAAGCGTGTGACTCCTTGGGTTTAGAGGCCATATCTCTCAGGTCATCCAGAGGTGCCCAAGCCACACCAACAGAGAAGATGGTGATACCTACAATGGAAATATTTTTAAGTGAGTTAAAAATAGGTCTAGCTTACATACAAAGTTATATATTCATATATTAATATATAACCTCAGAAAACTGCTTAATTTAAATGAGATCTATGCTAAGTTTTCTAGGTAGACTACAGACTGGTTGTGGTGAAAATAATTTGGTCAGAACCAAAAGCTTTGCTATTAACAACTTATAATAATTGATGAAAATACCATGATGATCAGTTCATTAAAGACAGTGTGTTGAACATAGGAGCAGAAGCACATCATCCAGCGCATCTGTTTGTAAAGATCCTACACCCTACACGTGGTTGGCAGTGAGGAAAGACCCTGCTACTGTCACTGTCGGACATCATTTTGAGCTCTTAAAAAGCACATTAAATTAAGCCTGGCACAAAAGGATACATAAGTGGGGAAGTTTGCATTGTCCGAGGAATAGGTTCTAGTGATCATTGTTTCCTCTACTTCAGTCTTTGAAGTATTGACAAATCCAATTATCAAAAATTGTAGCTTTTGCAGGGCGGTGGTGGCACATACCTTTAATCCCAGCACTCAGGAGGCAGAGGCAGGCGGATCTCTGTGAGTTTGAGGCCAGCCTGGTCTACAAGAGCTAGTTCCAGGACAGGAACCAAAAAGCTACGGAGAAACCCTGTCTCGAAAATCCAAAAAAATAAAAAAATAAAAAAAAATGTAGGTTTTGGAGTTAGAGAGATGGCTCAGCAATTAACATTTGTTGCTCTTGCACAGAACCTGTGTCCAGTTTCCAGCACCCACATAGTTCAAAACCATCTAACTCCAGTTCCAAGGGATCAGATGTCCTCTTCTGATCTTCACAGGCACCAGGTGTACACATGGTGCACATAAGTCTGAGACTGCTAGTCTTTAAAGCAAAAATATGTGGCAATTAAAAAAACTTTCAAAGGGATTTTAATGATGCCTGGAAGAATTGCAGTTCAATCACGGAAACTCTAAAGCTCATTGAATTTAGTCCATACTGCAAGGATTCTTTCCACAAAAATGTCTGAGCCTATATTGATGTAGAATTCATAGGACCCCTTTTGTATCTCTAACACAAAGGATAACCATCTTACCTGCGTCATGCGCTGCTGCAGCGGGGCCTCGGACATCATCGTAGGACTGCCCATCTGTGACAATCACCAGGAAGTTTTTGTTGGGGCTGTCCCTTATGGGACCAAATACATTTCTGACAGTAAAGGAAATGGCATCACCAGTAGCTGTTCCACCACTCATATAACGTATGTTTCCTAGGACAGCTAGAACATTCTCTTTGGTGTTATAGTCAGTGAAACTGAATTCTGTGCGCTGATCATAAGTGAACTGGACAGCAGCTATCTTGGCTCCAATGTCTGAGATTTCAAATGTCTTGGCTATGTTAGAAACGAATTGCAGCATGAGACGGAAATTGCTATCCCCTACACTGCTGGAACCGTCAATTAGGAAGGCGACATTCACCGAGTTGTAACAGGTCTTGCTGCACATCATCTGCTCGTGAGTGCAGAGCTTCTGCACCAGAGGCTTCACGTATTTTGTGGTGCCAAACCAGTTGGGCATGTGATAAGAGAAGAAGCCGTTGTTCCGACACACAGCCTAAAGGGGAAAGACAAAAGATATCCCCAAAATAAAAAGTTTCGTATTTTGCAAACGGTGGTGTTGGAGAATGAACCTAGAACGTACATATGTATCCCTAGCCTTCTTGCTACTTCTCATTTTGAAATAGGGGTCTTAGTTAAACAGGCTGGCCCAGGACTCGTAATCCTGTCATCTAAGCCTCATTGAGTAGCTGGGATTGCTGGGCAGTGGTGGCACATGCCTTTACTCCCAGCGCTTAGGAGGCAGAGGCAGGCAGATCTCTGAGTTCAAGGCCAGCCTGGTCTACAAGAGTAGCTGGGATTACAGGTTTGTTCTTCCATGCCCTCCTCAAACATATCAAATATTTGTACATTAATCTAGTTGTGGGCTTATCAATACTAGGTGTAAGAGGTCCCAAACTGAGTCACTCCCGCCCATTACACCTTACCTTGTCAACAAATGCAACATCCTGAACCATCCCCAGTTCTTCAGGGATGGGCTTGGCCACAGAAACTATAAATACGTTGACACCAAACTCTCTGGCCACAATGCCTGCTTCCTCAATGTCATCAGAAGGCCAGCCATCAATAAACACCACCACCACTTTTGGTATCCCTTTTCTCACCCCTGCGTCTGCTGTAAAGAATTTCTGAGCAGTGTGCTTCAAGGCTTTTCCTAAGAACAGAAGCAAATGAACAGCATTGGTCACGGCTCAAATGACATTTCTATTCTAGGTAGTAATACCATTCAATTTAAGAATTTAACTTATGGAATTCAGTTAGTAAAAGATCTATGAAATGGGAAAGTTTGATTATTCTTCAGGCCTATTTTTGGTCTTCACAACCTACACTGCTCCCCCCTCCACCTCCCAGAAGCCTCACATTCCCTTCTATCATTTAATGGTAAAACATAACACGCCCCCTCCTGTTGTGATCTCACCCCTTACTGGCCATGAGGGCAGCTAGGGCACAAGGAACCTTCCAAAGTCTGCTCCATCTGCCTTTGTGGTTAAGTTTGTTCATCTTTGCTGTTAACTTTCCTAAAGAGCACAATGCTGTAGGTTTTTAAATTTTACTTATTTATTTAAGAATTATCAGCACCAGGTGATGGTGGCGCACACCTTTAATCCCAGCACTTGAGAGGCAGAGGCAGGTGGGTCTCCTGAGTCTGAGGCCAGCCTGGTCTACAGATTAAGTTCTTGGATAGCCAGGGCTGTTATACAGAGAAACCCTGTCTCAAAAAACAAAACAAAACAAACACACAAAAATAACAAGCAAAGAAAGAATTAGCGGTTGAGCCATTGGCATTTTTTCCACTACAGAGAGCTGTCAGGTGATGGGATGCAGATCTAGCTAACACAAGACCTAGCAGGAGAGAGTCTCTAGATGGCACTAAAAGTGGTAACTTGTGGTTTTGGTCTCAATCATCCCCTATGCTGAGCCCGGAGGTGGTGCACTTACCTGTGTTGGAATTACCCCCTCGGAAACCTACTTCTTTTATGGCAAACAAGACATCTTTGGCTGAAGTAAAGTTTTTCAGGTAAAATTCTATTTTGGGATGTTCACTATAAGAATGAAAAAAAAAGTTTTTAGGAAAGAAAATAGTTAGATGGCCTTTTTTTTAAATTACTGGTTAAGGACCAATGTTCAATTCCCAGTAGCAACATAGCAGCTCACAACCATCTGATTCACTCCCAGGGGATCTAGCATCACTCATGACCCCTCTGGGTACCAGGCACACACATGGTATAGAGAAATCGACGTAGGCAAAACAATAGAAACAAACCACATATAAGAAATGTAAGAAAGAGTCGGACCTCAGTCTTTTTTAAATCACAAAGTATATATGATCAACTAGTACATTGCTTCCACTCACTGGGAATGTTTCAGAAATGTAAAAAGTATGGTTGTTACACTCCAAATTTATCATATTTTAAATAATAGCTAAGCATTTGCAATTTCATTTCCTATTTTCATGAGGTGGAATTATACTAATTATTTAAAGAAACAGGCTTAGAACTCACGGAATTTGCCTAACAGAATGTGTTAAATTCAGACTCAATTGCTTCAAATTCAAGTTGGAACTGGCGTTACAGACTTTCTGTGTGCAGCATGGTAAGGCAGGTGCGGCTGTGCGGACTTGGTGGTACTCTCCAGGGTTGGGCACCAGGCATGTGGGAAACAGTTGGGTGTGAGCGTACATCTGCTCCAGTGCACAGCCCCAGAGGCATTTAGCTGTCTATTAGCCAAAAAAAAAAAAAAAAAAATTACTGACATCTGAAAGTATTATTTGTATGTGGGTGTTTTGTCTGCTTGTTATGTCAATGCACTGTGAGCATGCCTGATGCTCACAGCAGCCAGAAGAGGGCGTTAGATCTCCTGGAACTGGAAACAGATACGTGTAAGTGACCATGTAGGTGAACCTTGGTCCTTTGGAAGAGCAACCAATGCTCTTGATTGCTGAGCCTTATTTCTAGTCCCTAAGACTGACATTTTAAAGACGGGAAAACATACAAGGAAATGTATTGTAAAACACTGCAATGTAAAACTTTTCTTACAAAAACGACAACAGCACTTGCCAATCCTGGTTATTTAAAGAATTTCAGCTCACTTTTAACTATATTTTGTTCATTAGAGATCATATCAAAGACTGAGGAGATGGTTCAGTCCAAGACATGAGTTCAATCTCCAGAACTCATGTAAGGAGAGCTGAGCGTGGTGGCTCAGATTTGTGATCCCAATGCTGAGGAGGCGGATGCCTGGGACATGTTGGCCAACCAGCCACCCTACTTGGCGAGTTCCAGGCCTATCAGAGACCTATCTAAAACAATAAAAAGTGGATGGCATCTGAAGAATAAAACATGGAGTGTCCTCTACCTTCTGCATCCATGTGTGTGTCCACCTGCGCGCGAGCGCACACACACACACAGACACGCACACACACACACACACACACACACACACACACACGGCTGAGTAAAACCTTTGTAGTCAGAATTTCATTAAGTGCAAGTTTTTAAGCTTTAAGCATAGGTAGCCATTTTAACGTCAGGCTTTATTGTTCGTTTGCTTGCTTGCTTTAAGACAAGATCTCCTGTTTCATCTTTTGGGGCTGTGGGACTGAAGATGCCTGTGACTATCCCTGACTCTTCAAGATTCTGTGAGTGGCAGGAAGAGCACAGACTTTCTCCCCGCCCACCTGCTGGATCATGCAATCCGATGGCACGGTTTGGTTACCTAGGTAAGTTTGTAGTCACTCTCAATTATTCAGATTCTGACCTAAGCCAGTCATCTTATTTTTGCATCATTAATGATGCAAAGGTCACCCTGTCCTATTTATATATTTATTATATAGTGATATTTTGTGTGTATTTTAACAAAGCTTGCCTGAAGATCAGAGTGCAGAGCTAAGCCACTAGAGAACAGGCAGTGGTGGCACACACCTTTAATTCCAGGACTTGGGAGACAGAGGCGGAGGGATCTCTGTGAGTTCAAGGTAATGCTGGGCTACACTTGATTGAATCTGTTTAAAAGAGAAACAGAGCTCACACAAAGTGGGATCCCATCACTAGGGAGGCGGAGACAGGAGTGATATGGCTGGGCAGAGAGAGGAATATAAGGCGGGAGGAGACAGGAGCTCAGAGCAGTCTAAGGATGCAGTCTGAGGTGTGGTCTGAAGGGGTCAGGCAGAGGACGAAGGCAGTCTGAGGACAGGATCTCCCCTTTGGTCTGAGGATTCGGTAGAGGTAAAAGGTCTCTCTAGTGGTTGGATGTGCTACTTCTCTGACCTCTCAGCTTTCACCCTCTAATATCTGACTCTGGGTTTTATTAAGAACAATCAGAATCTGTGCCACAGTGAGCTCTTTATTCTAGTGCTTCCTAAAGCAGAAAAACGTGAGGATATAGGTTAATGCAGCTTTCGTTTTGAAAAAGCATAGGGTTAAATTAGTCAAAACAAATCAATGTAAGAAAAAAAAAGTCATATGGGAGAGTTGAAATATACAGGAAATACACTTAGAAAATGTATCAGGACCTAAATCAGGCACAGTGGTGCACGCCTTTAATCCCAGTACTTGGGAGACAAAGGCAGGTGGATCTCTGAGTTTGAGGACAGCCTGGTCTACAAAGCAAGTTCCAGAGAAACCCTGTTCAAAAAAAAAAAAAAAATCTAGATCACCAAAATAATAATAAAAAATCAGTCCTTGACTCAAAGAAAATTGATTTTGCATTTAAATCAACATAATAAAGGGCTCAGTGTTTTAAAGGCAAGGGGAAAATGACTATATTATATAGAAAGGTTAAATATTGGGCTAGAGAGATGGCTCAGTGGTTAAGAGCATTGACTGTTCTTCCAGAGGACCCAGGTTCAATTCCCAGCACCCACATGGCAGCTCACAACTCTCTATAATCCCAGTTCCAGGGGGCCTGATACCTATGGCAAAATACCAATACACATAAAATAAAAATACTTTCCTTTTTTTTAAAAAAAAAAGAAAATTTAAATATCTTCAAAACAGACCCTATTATAAAAAGTAACAAATGGACTTGGGAGGCAGAGGCCTTGAATTCGAGGCCAGCCTGGTCTTCAGAGCAAGTTCCAGGACAGCCAGGGCTACACAGAGAAACCCAGTCCTGAAAAACCAAAGGGGGGCGGGGCATAACGGCTGGAATATTAGTGAGTGCTAGTAGAGAGGCCGGGCAGTCTTTATCCACGGCTGACAGTATTAGCTGCCTCACTCAACCTTCTAGAAAGCAACTTAGCTATTTTCATCAGAAACTTTGAAAGTGTCTGAACTTCCCACCCAGGAATTCTGCAGAATGAAACAGTCGAAGCCGGGAACAAAGCTGACACAGGCTTCTTGTCATGAGGTGCTGTGTGGCAGCGGACGGCAGGGGGAGACTGTCTCAAGTATGCAAAGGAAGCCTATAAGACAGCGTGCAACACGCATTCGACACGAGAGAATGCTTCAGACACTAAGGGGTGAGCGAACGGGGTCCCACGCTTTTACAGCCTGAAACACAGACAAGGGGAGAGCAAACGTCTTCTCCAGCGCAGAAAGGAAACACAACTTTACAAGGGCGGGATCTGGAGGACTTGGTCTGCTAAATGCACTTCTTTGTTCTACTTGTCAAGCTTCCTCTAAGGAACATTAGTAGGTGCTAAAGCCACCACGATCATGTTTACAGGAATGAAGTAGAAGAGGGCACACGTCGGACTGAGAGCTCGTGACCTCTGGTTGTTCTTGGATCGTGCTTTCGTGCCCCACCCCCCCAGGTGTAGAAGGAGTGGGTTTGCCTTAGACCACCCTTCGGCTTTCCCATTATTATCCAGAAGGATGCTTGTAAGCATGCGTGGTCCTCACGACTGCATACAGCCTATCTCAGGTGATCTTTGCCCCGGTGACGGTATACAGCTTGCACTCCAGGGAACTTTGCTCATGTGTCCTGCTTAACCCTCAGAATATATATTGTCTGATGCCCTAGATGAGACTTTAGTCCGCCTCACTCCCTCAGGCTGATGTCACCATATGAGAGCCGTGACAGTCCTGCTTTGCACCTCCAAGGAAGGGACATGGGAAGCGATTAACATTGGGGGAGGCTGCTATTCATTTCCCGGCTGCCCATATAAATTGGCAGAGTAAAGAAAGGGAACAGAGAGCTCACCACCGCTTCCTCCAGAAAAGGAAAGCCGGGAGCTGAGTGAAGCAGAGAAAGTGTTCCTGTAAGGCTTCCAGGCCATGAAATCCCTTTCCGGCTTTCTACAGTGTACTGGTCACTAAGTCCTTTTATGCCAGTGATGCCCTCAGACCCACACACACTAACCCGATGGTCTTTCGTTGGTGGTGTTGTTTGCGGTGTGGAGAATTGTGAACACTGCATGCACATGCAAGTGCTTCAGATATATTTTCTCTCCCTAAGGACCAGTCTCATTATGCAGCTCTAGCTGGTCTATTTGCTATGTAGACTAGGCTGGCATTGAACTCACAGAGATGGGCACAAAGCAGATGTAAGGCTATCTATCGCCTGCCTCTGCTGCCTATGTACTGGGGTTAAAGGTATACACCACGATACCCAATCTTCCTGAGACGTTCGTAAATCCTGAATTATAGTTTGGGAATCCAGCTTGTCCAAACTTAAATTATATTTAACTGAAATTAATATTACAACTTGGTAAGTAGTTATCATTCAAGACAGCCATAATTACCCATTTTATTAAAGTTGGTACCTGGCTTGCACGAGGCCCACGTGTGGTCCTTCGGTCCCAATTCCCAGCATCAACGCCACTTTCCCAACGAAATTCTTCTGCAAATTGAATCGGCGCTGGCCTATATTAAAGCTCCCATCGATCAGAAATGCGATGTCTGCCTTACAGTCTGCAGAGAGCCAAAGGAGGGCTTGTGAGTCTCAAGTGCAGCTGGAGGAAATCCCCCCCCATCCCCGCCCCTCCCCCTTAGCTCTTACCTTTATTGCCAGTCTTCTTCTCTGGCGTTTTCTTGAGCCGTTTACCTGAAACAAAGGAAGCACTTGAGCACAAGCCATTTGCACAGCAGGAACTTCCACCAGGATGAGCCTGTGGCAAGGAGTCCTGTTCTTAGAAAGGCCTTTTAAATTCATCTCAGGGTCTTCTGGACTGGGAAAGCAACCTCAGAACGGAACTGTAGCAGGCCTATGTATTTGGTATGTATCTATCCAAGGCTTTGATATCTAAACCTACAGCTGAAGCAAGGGTGGGAATACAGAGACACATGTTCTTAATTTCTTCGACTTTAAAATGGTAGGGGCCGGAGAGATGAAGCAGCGGGTAATCTAGCTTTTACTGCTCTTACAGAAGTCCCAGGTTTGGCTCCCAGCTCCACATCAAGCAGCTGAAGTCACAGCGCCTGTAACCTGGGTTCCAGAATAGCCCACCACCCTCTTTTGGTTCCGCCTTTGCCTGCACACACACCACACACATAAATACAGTCCCACACACATACATACATAAAACAAATCTCTAATAAAATAAAAATGAAATGGCCACTGTTTTGGAAACAGAGATCCCTGAACTTTTTTGGAGCGGCCACACACTGGTTTCTTTCAGTCACATGGCCGTGCAGAAACCAAGTGGCCTGTTGGAGCAAGGAGCTGGAAAGAGGTCCTTGACCGGTTTCCACACGTGGTTCATCAAATCAGGGAGGGATGGAACGGACTTCCTGGGACTGGATGAGCTAGGTTTATGATAAAGAAGAGAAGAACCGTGAACTCGAAAGTAGAATGCTTCCATCCAAAACATCAGTAAACGTGAGGCAGCTCCTTTGCTCCTCTGTGATATTAGTGTTCTGGAGGCAAGGTTCTACCACTGGCATTTCTAACTCCAAATGACGTGCCCGGCAACAAGATAGTGTTTCCTACCTGCAGGCGGATGGGCGGTGGACACTGCCCGTCCTGTGGCTTCCTGGGAACTGCTTTTTCCTTCTGTTGAGATGAGAAGTTTATTGTTTTTCTCTTTCCTTCTCTGCCATCAGAGTGTTATGCATCTAAAGTTCTACATGATGGTTGGGGGCAATGGTGACTCAAATGTAGACATCACACTGACCATTAGCTTTGGATTCTTGAAGTATTTGAAAAGATCACCAAAAACTGACTCTCCAGGTTTGACAGTTTGTTACCTGCTAACTATCTAGGCATTCAGGCTGCAAACAATTCCGATTTCGGTTTCCACTGAGTGAGGTGAGATTTTTACTCCCCCAAACTTGGGTGACTCTGTCCCATAGTTGACTTCTTAACTACAAGATTCTCCATCAATCAAAAAGGCTGGTCTAAAGAAAGCCGAAAATCCCTTTGAGGGTGTGGGGAAGTGTTTATGCACAGCTGAGAACAAGGAAATTGTACCTACTGGTCACCGCGAAGGAAGAAGGCCATCTGGAAAGCGTCTGGGACTGGACGCCATTGGCGTCCACAGAAGAATAGTTCTCTCGACCAGGAAGGCTATAGACACGCACAGGTCCCCCGGAGCTGTCAATCACTCCCCTGCAATGTCAGAGCTAAGCTGAGACACTATCCCGTTGCTCTGATTGGTCAAGAAAACAGCTGAGTGGAGAAGTTGCCTAAGGATGCTTGCTGCCGGCCTCGAGACTCCCGTTTACAGGAACAGAAGTGTCTGGAGGAAGGACTTTGTGCTGTCAAACTTTTTAAAGCGATGCTAAGGACACACGGGTACCCTGTTTCTTATCTCCAAGATAAGAATTAATAAAATGGTGCTAACTAACTGCATGTGCTCTTGGATTGTATTAGAAAAATCACACCGCTCCTTTACTGTAGGATGGGGTAGCATTGGCTCACCGTAGTGACAGTCAACAAGATGTCTCCTCATGGGGAGAGCAGACCAAAGCTGAGTCTACTTTAAAATTTGAGATGGAAGCTAAAAACCCAGAAATCGTATGACACAATGAGGAATGTTTTAGAATCGTAGGAATGGAGCCATCAGGCACTTATGCAAAGCTGGAGAACCGGCTCAGTGTTTAAGAAGCCCCAAGATCAGTTCCTAGCACCATGAGGTGGCTCACAACACATGTAACTCTACCTCCTAGGGATCCAACACCCTGGTCTGTCCTCCATGGGAAGCCAAACTATAGCGCACACACACACACACTTTTTATTAATTAATACATCTGCTCATTGTCTTACAGCCTACCTTGTACATTTGGTGATGCAAGAATGCCCATGAAAACCTTAAGAATATATCTACCTCCTGTGGCCCAAAGGGACATGGAAAAGAAGCAAGCAGGTAGGAAATGGGACCAAACAAGGGAGAGACTAACTATGCTTGTACCACTGTCCTCCCGCATGGCCCTTCCCACATGTTCCGGCTCACCTATGGACAGCAGCCCCACATATGCTGGACACCGAAGCATATACTATGTTCCCAAACACAGAAAATTCCTCGAGAGAACAGCCTCCTGGGCAGAGAACATCTGCTTTCTCTTTCCGGATATCCAGGCCTCTGGTGAAGCAGGTGATGGCAATGGGAACTGGAGAGAAAGGATTTGTTACATAAGTGCTCTGAAGGCTTCCTGGAGGAGTGTTGCAGGAAACTCGGGAGATGGGATTATTTTAACCCCCTAGTTTCTCTACTTCCACCAAAACACTGACTTAAATGTTGATGCTGTTTTGGATGTTAGCAAAGCAAAAGGGATTTTCAATTTAATCTAGGGCCCAGTTGCTACAGATGTCTAATGTGACAATATTCCCAGTTCTTAGTCAGTTTGGACAATGTAACAAAGTACATCTGAATGAGAAGGCAATGCTTGTCTTTGACCTTGTCCTTAGAACTACAAAAATCTCAGTTGCAATGAAACTGTTGACAGTCGTTTACCATGACAGTAATTCTGGGTTGTGGGGTGTCTTCATAGACACATGCAAAAGTCTTGAAGTGACCCTTTCCACGGGGCTGTTTAGCCTTGTTACCTGACACAACCACCACCTTAAAATCTCACGTTCACACAAACCAGCCAGTTAACTGGTGCCTGGGTCCACAGAACGTTATGTAGTTGCACAGTTTCCAAATGAGGAAATTAAAGTTATAGTGTTAATTAGCCCAAGGAGCACCCTACAACTCCCAAAGGACAGACACCAGGTAGTCCTACACTTACATCTGATTACATCTCCTCCAGATCCGACCAAAGGGACCCCTGAGGCAGCAAATGCATCTTTGGAAAACCCTGAGTGGCTCACTCAGTCATCCCATCACTCGGGAAGCTGAGGCAGGAAGATTTTTGCCTTGAGTTTGAGGCTAGCCTGAGCTACAGTGACATCGCCTCCCAAAAGCAAACAAAGTTACTATGAAAGGTGTTAATTTGTCAAATTACAACAGACTCCGAAATGGTAGCCTGCCAATTCACTGCCGATTAAACCGACATTAAGGTTATTGAGTTAAACCGACATTAAGGTTATGGAGTACGATTTTCCAAACACAGGGACAAAGATCTTTGGAAACAGATGTTTGGGGTGGGGGTGGGGGATACAACATCTCCCTCACCCGACAAGACGGGATAGTTTTGCAAGTTGAGTTACTTGCGCAGCAAGGACCTCTGTGGGTGCTGCTACCTGGGCCATGGAAGAAAGGGGAAGACTTCTCCCAGGTGTAATACCAGTTCCTCTGCTCAGTTAAGATCCTAACTCCGTACAGGAGTCCAGCACCTCTATCAAATAACCCCAGTCTTTCTTGTTTTCAGCGACCTGAGGGAGGGGCCGGCAGTGACGCTAGAATCTCGAACCTAGTCTGTCTTAGAGCCGCTAACACTGACTCCCTTGGACAAAAGGTGAACACGGCAGCCAGGTGCGGTACTTACCATTTCCACTTTCAAGAAAAGCAAACAACAGATTTTTAGAAATGAAACTACCCCTTACATGTCGCAGAAAAGACACCGAGCCACACACCCTTCCTCGGGCTTTTCTACACGTGGAACCAACTCTTTTGAGACTTTCAGAGAGCGAGAAGAACTGCCGACGGTGCTTCCATGGGGGTTACAGTATGACAAACACACAGCAAGGTGATCGGACTAGGTGAGACCAGGACCTGAGGCGACCCATCTGTAGGCTGGAACCAACCGGTTTTCCCAAGCCAGTAACTCGGGACTAGGAGTCCCGGAGCTAGATGGTGTACTCCCGGGAAGAGGACCTGTCAGACCCCTGGTGCACAGGGGATGGGAGCGGACGCCTCTCCACCACTCCAGTCCGGCATCCCTCCGCAGATCCTCAGCCTCCTTCCCTCCCTCCCTGTCCTCCCTCCGTCCCCCTCCCGCATCCAACTCACCGGCTCCCTCGGCGCGCGCGAGCCGCGGCAGCAGTAGCAGCAGCAGCCACGCACCTGCGGAGAAAGGACAGCTAGGTGGCTGCTGCCTCCGCCCGCGCGGGCGCGGCGGCGAGGGCGCGTACCCACCGAGGCAAAGAGCATGGATCCAGGACGAGGGCATGGCGGGGGTCTGCGAAGACCTGCGGGAGAGCGAGGCGTGAGCGAGGCTCGCCGGGGACCCCAGGGCCCCCGGGCTCCTCGGGAGCGGGCGAAGGCGGGAGAGCCTGGCCATTGCACATAGAGCAGTCCCGGGCACACTGTGCCACCTCATATTGGCGTGGGGGACGCCAGGACACACAGATAGGCAGGAACAGACCCCGTGCATCACCCCGAGTCCCGCACCTGCGTGGGATCCGCCCGGCTGCACCCGAGTGCGGTAAGCGCGGCTCCGCGGCCGCTATAAAGGCCGGCGGCGCGCATGAGCACTGCGCGGTGCGGGGGGCCACGGGAGGGGGCTGGGAGCGGTCCTGGGTCCCCCGGTAGGGCGGTGGCCGGCCAGCTCCGCCCTCGCCACCGACACCCCCCCCCGTGGAGAGGCCGGCGCGCTGGCGCCTCTCCCTGCGGTGTGGGGGTCCCCTGGGGAGGTGTGAAGGTAGCCGGTGGCGCCCCGGGATTTGGGGGTGGGGTGCATCTGAGCGCGCCTGGGGACGCTCCTAGGGACGCGCAGGTCGTGCAGAGTACTGGACGAGGTGGTGGGTGACTGCCCAGAGGGAATTGACGGACTCCGCACCGTCTCTGTGGGGTGTTGAGCAGCTGAACACCGGGTTCTAGAAAACTTCCAACTTCGCGCCCGTGGGAACAGTGCTACCTTTAAGTAAAACCAACCGGCATTTGGTGAAACACTGCGCTGGGAAACTTGTTCCACAACCCGTTATTCTTTAGGGGCTCGGCCTCCAGACTTCTTTTCTGCGAGAAAACTGTTTTCCCTGACCGGTCTTTTGTTGTAAGGGGTGGGAACGTCGTAGAGTGCCCGCTAACCTCCAGGCAATATTGACATTTTTATTTACATTTTCTTTCTCTTCCTTTTTTTTCTAGATCAGGGAAGAGTCCTCCTTGTTTGTCAGTCCAGTCTATTTCGTTCTCTCTCTCTCTCTCTCTCTCTCTCTCTCCTCTCTCTCTCTCTCTCTCTCTCTCTCTTTGTGTGTCCCATCCCCCACCGCCAATTCTACTATAGTCACTTTTCATGATGGACATGGAGAAAGAACGAAACTCAAGGGGGATGGTTAGTGACAGACGAAGACCTGCAAGACAGCTGAGGAACTCCAGACCTGGACAGCCCTTACTCTGGCAGTCCCCCCCCCCCCCTTTTTTTTTTTCTTTTGAGATTTGGTTTTACTGTAATCACGATGACCTTAAATTCACAATTCTCCTACCTCAGCCCTACGGCAGTGCTACTTCTGCACCTGGCTACAATACCTGTTTTAAAACTAGCTTTATTTAGTTGTAATTTACGTCATAGAATCCATCCATTTAAAGAACAGGATTCGGTGACTTCAAGTAAAGTTGATGATCCTCATCGTAGTCCAGTTTTAGAACATTCCATCACCTCCAAAATGATGTCTCCTGGTGGTTGACGGGCATCCCTTTCTTCACCTCCACGCTCAGCAATCACTAATCCACTTCCTACCCCTACGGGTTTGTCTTTTATGGACATCGATACAAGTGGAATCATTCCCACACCAACAGGCCTGGTGTTGCGGGGCACCTGTGTTGGAGTGTGTTGCTCACTCCCCTCTCAGATGGTCAGCCCTTGCCTAGGTAGAATGGTTTGATGTTTTCATCAAGCAGACTAAGGGTTTAATTCCTCTTACTACCCTTGCAGATCGGCCTGTTCTGGCTCTTTCTTTTTCGTGGCTTCTTGAAGGGTTCGACCTCTTCCATGAGAGAGCTGTGCTTTTCTTAGAAGTCCTATTAACCACCCCTAATGTATTCTTTGGGAGAAAGATGAGGACAATTAAAACGGTTCTTTTCATGATTGTTCTTTGTGTGTCCTCCACCAGGGTGGGATAGCCTCCTCCAGTTAGCCTGGGAAACTGTCATGATCTTGTAGAATTAGTTGCCAGGCAGCAACTCAGGCACTGCTACTCACATCACATGGCTGAAGGGGTGCAGGCAGAACCACCCAAGGGCATAGTCCCTGAGGCCATTCCACAGTGATCTGGCAGAATCAAAATTGTGCAGCTATTTCCATGATAGACCCCGAGTCTGTGACTTAAAAAATAGAGGAAATAGCTCATTAAGTTTCATGGCTGTTTACACAAGCATTTTAATTGTTTTGTTTTGAAACATTTAAGAGAAGTTAGAGGTTAGTCTTTATTTATTTTTATTCTTTTGGAAAGAGCAAGCAAAGAGCGTGGAGGAGTCAGGGTGATGGTCCTGTCCCTCGGTTAGTTTGTTTTCCTGTTCACCATAAGAGCATGGAGGGAAAATATGTGAATGTAAGAAGCCTGGCTGCAGAAATAGCCAAGGCAAGGGCGAGCCAGATCAGCTGCCCTTGACTGAAAAAGACACATTGTTAAAGTTACATGTTTGCTTCAGCTGGGTGACATCTCAGAGTGGTGTGCTCCCAGGATTGTTGGTTTATCTCTCTCTAAGGAAGAATTCAGTTATTCAAACACCAGAGAGTAGCTGGTTCCTCACCGGGTTGCAATTGGGACCATCTGGGGAACACTCAGCTGGCCTGTAGTCTGGGTCTCCCTTCCTGCTAGAGAGTCTGATGCTGTTGGTCTGGGCCAGGGCCAGAACCTCCGGCTGTTAAAAATCTTCAGATGGTTCCAATACACTACTCAAGGCACATAATACATAGTTCAACGTTTAACTAAGAAATTAGTGATTCTAATCTTTCATTGGCTTTTCGGTGTTTCATCGAGATTCTATTTCTCTTTGCCGACTACATTTCCCTGATGATACATGGTTAGTTGTTTAGGAACACTGCCCAGGGCTCGTGAGATGGCTCAGCGCGGAAAGCTGGTGATTGTGCAAGCCTGGCCACCAGAGTTTGCTCCTGGGCGACCCATGTGAAGGTGGAAGGGGAGAGCCGACAGCCTAGACCTTTGACCTCACACACACCAGCACACAATAATAAATAAGATGAATAAATTCCTTATGAAAACAATGCCCAGCAGACAGGCCGGGAACTGAATTTCAGAAGTACTTGTCAATTTGGGAGGGGAATTTGCTCTTAGAGCACATGCTTGCAAGAATGAGACCCTGGATGCCACCTCCAGACTCCCCCAAAAATAGCTTTTGTTGAGAGCATGCCCAGGGTATGTGGTTCCATTTCTGACTTTGCATAGAGCCGGCCACATGGCTAAGGGATGAGCTGCCCCTGACACTGACGGCCTGTGTGCCATTTCAGACTTTTGGATGATGCTGTTGGCTGTGAATGCGTTGACAACAGTGTAGTTGTCTACTTGTATTTGCTTCGAGTCAGCTCGAGCTCCTAGTCTTCCTTCTGTTGGTGTCTCGCTCTTTGGAGAGGGTATTTCCTGAAATGTTGACATTTTGGCTATTGGTATTTTGTTTTCCATATTTATTATTTGATTGTTATTTATTTAGTGTGTGGATGGACCCGAAGGCAGGTCTTGCTTTTTTTTTTTTTTTAATTTTCCAGGATGATTAGTCCTGTACCAACTTATGTACCACCGAAGCTCTGTAAACAGTTGCTAAGCACAAAGCCTAATTTATCTTGGCTTCTATTTTGATGATCTGGAAGTGAATATGTTCCCTTTTAGACTGTCCTACCGTGTCCCATCCATCGCCACAGCTGATTAGATAGAGGGAAATAAACCTGGGCTCCTCTCATCCTTGTATTGAATCAGCAGTTGTGAATCATTTTTTTTTTCTGTATCTGGGTTTTCTGGCTTTTTCCGTTTATTATTTCCTGATCATTTTCTGTTGTTACTATCTTCTACTAAGCAAGCACATGCAGTAGACTTTGGGTTCTGTGGTGACTAGCAGCAGAATAAATGTTCAGAGCCTCTGAGGAGTGAAAGCTAAAAGTCAATCCACGGACTAGCGTGTATACGTCAGCACATGATAGAGTCCTTGTCTAGTACACACGAGAGGCCCTGTGCTCAACCCCAGGTCTAGAACACTAAAAATAAAAGTAAAAAAAAAAAAAAATTGATCCAGAGATGGTCCTGTAACCACCAGGCCTCTGCTTCTTCTCTTACAAAGTGGAAGGATTTAGATCAGCTATTGAAGACAGCTTCCCACTCGACCCGCTCCGTGACTCTGCATACATGGCTGCCCACCCAAATGTGGGTATCGGGGGGCTGTGCTCTGCTAGGGGTTCAAAAATAGCCAGTTAACAAACACTGGCTGGGGCCGGGCGGTGGTGGCGCACGCCTTTAATCCCAGCACTCGGGAGGCAGAGGCAGGCGGATCTCTGTGAGTTCGAGACCAGCCTGGTCTACAAGAGCTAGTTCCAGGACAGGCTCCAAAACCACAGAGAAACCCTGTCTCGAAAAACCAAAAAAAAAAAAACAAACACTGGCTGTGCCCAGAGACCTTCATATTCTAAACATACAGGCCAAGCAATAGTTTCTAAGATGTATGAAGAACAGAAGGCTACTCTTAACTGTCAACCTGACCCAAGCTAAAATGCCCTGGGAAAGAATCTCAACTATGGATCATCTAGATCAGGTTGGCCTGTGAGCATGGCTGTGGAGGACCATCTTGGTTGCCCTAATTTCCGGAGTTTAGGCTTTGGGCTTTGAGAGAGTAGAGAAAGCAAGTGAACACAACATGTATAAGTATTTATTCTTTCTTTGCTCTTTTAGAAGCACACTTTAAGGATTTATTTTACTTTTACTTGTGGGTCTGGAAGAGTGTGTTCACGTGAGTTCACACGCCCACAGAAACATCTGCTCTCTTGGGGCCTGAGTTACAGACAGTTGTGAGCCACCTGATGTGGGTGCAGGGAACTGAGCCAGGGTCCCGTTAACCATGGAGCTGCCTTTCAATTCTCCCTCTGCTCTCTGAATTCGATGTGACTATCTGCCTCAAGTTCTAGCTTGACGTCCCCACAATGATGGACTGAGACCTGGAACCGTCAGCCAAATAAGCCCTTTCTCCCAAGATGCTCTTGGTCAAGAAATTCTATTCCAACAGAATTCTATCCCACTGGTGATTGGACCCGTTGTTTGAAACCATGGATCCAGCAAGCCTTATCAGATCGAGCTATCAAGATCTGAAATAAACTTTTCTGTTTGTGTGGTTCTAGGGTTATATATTGCTGATGTTGCTAAAAGATAAAGTTTATAAGTCATTTTCTATAGATCAGGGAACATAAGAGGAAGACAAAATGCATTCAGACAACTGAGTGTGTAATATAGAAAATTTTATTCATTTTGAGACAGGGTCTCTCCACAT